TTTGGTTTTGACACCAAAAGGGAAGCAATTTCACTGTTTACTATGGCTATTAGAGGGGACACGGGTTTTCTCTCAGTAAGTCGAAAAATGTGTGTGTGCCATGGGAATTTTCATTTATATGGAAGAGTAGGATGTAAAGGATTCATAATTTGGACTCATCGGAACTAAATAATTATTACCTTGAAGTTGTGGCCATTGATTTTTACTAAGCCATCCGCGCAGTGTCCTGTCACCCCTATGCTGAGCTTTTGTCTGTAATGTTACATATCGTTAAAGCCAAAAACCATCCTGAAGAAAATTAAGCTAATCTCTGACGATGTCTTTCACTCGGCATTTTAAAACTTAGCACTGAGTATTCGGGGTCGAGGATTCATTCACGCAAATCATTCGTTGTAGCTATCAGGAAACGCTTAAGCCTCCACTGCTGCGGATTTACGAATCTCCTACACCCAGCTTTTCCCTCGAAATAATTGATAAGGGGTTCTTTGAAATGCAGTTTTTTTATATTGCGAAGTATGACTTTGTTTTTTACACTTTTTATTTGTTTGTTTCATTCTCATACCCAGCATTACAAAATGGACCTGCTGGCCCACCTACTTCCCTATCACCTAGTCGATCAGTTGATTCGCATCTTGCTCAGTTATCACTTGATTCAGCACCCTTGACGACTCCAGATAGCCTGTTAGTTATCACTTTTTGAAACATTAATAATCTTTTTCTGACACTCATTTTTCTCTTAGTGGCTCTAGATGCTTTTTACTAAGCATATTATTGTATTGACGTATTTAAGCAATACTTATTATAGAAGTAGTTTGACCTCGTTTTCTCAACTTGCTTGTGCTCTTAATTTTGAACCATTTGCTTGCGATTATGAACTTGGATTATAAGATGACTGAGTATCCTACATCTGGTTGTGGTATAAGATAGCTGAATTAATTGAGAAGCTGTGGGATACTTAGTCAATTAAAAAGCAACTTATAAAGCTTAGAACTCAACTGCATACATGTCTTATTGTCTATCAATTTCAGCTTTTCTCCCCTTCGATTGCTTTTCATTTCTATAGTCGATTTACCTCTTCTACAAGTTGGTCGTTAAACCAGTTGCAAAGCTCCAACGGTTTCCCGCTTCCTATAACTGCGGCCAGTCAGCATACTTCACTTACTTCAACCAGCACCTGTTCTCACCTATCCTCGAACCAGGATATTCGAACTTCGACTTGCCGCCAGCCAAGACCAAGTTCTAGTTCATCAGGTCGTTGCATCTTGACAGATACCAGCGTCTCAATCTCGTCTAACCCATCTGTTGAAGCTGCAGCCACTATACCATCTATCGATCTTGCTTCATCGACTACTACCACTGTTCGTTCCAACACAGGAAGCAACTTTGTTCGTTGGAATCTTACAGCCTACGCAAATCGAACAGGCAGAATTGGCAGCCAGGGTGCTGGAAGTACTAGTGGTGTTCGTCGGTTAAAACACTTGCTCACTCCGATGCGTCGACATTCTCCTGCTCGAATCGTCGGTATGTGCAATCAACTGTCCATCAATCCCAGGTCTGACAAGAATATCGAGGTTGTTGAGCCTCTCGGGAATTCTACCAACATCACCACATCTAACGCTGCTGGGCCATCTATTGTATCGGGGCGTAGGCTCCGCAAAGTTCGACATTTGAATAATATTATGCTTGTTCGACCAGGTATAAGCCCTGCACAAGTCCTAGATCGATTGGCGCAAGCCTTGGCAACACAAGCAATTCGATTTACATTAAAGGGGTTAGCTTGATGATATTTTATTTGGTCAGACAACGCATGACCTTAGTTCTTTGTTATTCCAATAGCTAGGCACATCTTTTTTATCTGCTTTTGATATTTGGAACCCTTATTTTCCACGTTTACTCTTGATATTCACTGTATAGAGTTTAATTATAGGCTTTACTAACTATGATTTTTGTGTGTATGCATGTTTGCGTGTATGCAGGCTTTAATGTCTGCATGAATTCTCAAGTGACCAGCATAAGGTCCACATGACTTAAGATTTTATATCTTGCTGGTGGGTAGTTCAGGAACGAACCTGCGATCTATGTCCTCTTGGATATTAGATACGGACAGTTGGGGGATAAAGTGAAAATGTATGCCAGTAGAAGGTTTACCTTTTGAAGTATTGTTTTCACCTGTCATTTTTGAAAAGAAACTTTGCGTCGTTTCTTATCAGAATTCATTTATGCGAAGAAAGGTTGGATTTCGAGGAATCTCTTGTTTCACAATTGTTGAGCTTATTTCCATTTCGAGTGAAAGTGTTTGGTGAAGAGATTCTAAGGCCGACTCGACCAGAAGACGACGGTGGATTCCTCTTGTCCTAATTATTTTGAGTCATCACTACTGGTTTCGTGTATAAGCGAATACAAACAGGCACATACACATATAGAGACAGACACAATCACATGCTTTGAGGTTGACATATGACCGTAACAAACCGGATCGCTTTATACCTGATCAAAGAAGCCATATATAGAATATATATACAGCTTTTTAGGGATTTGCCGGTTTATTTGCTTGACTCATTAGCTTGAATTTGGTTGTGACAATGATACCTTGCTCTGATGATATTCGTCATATGACAGACGGGAGCTTAGCACTTTTTCACTGGAATCGAAGGAGATTACCTCGGAAACAGCGTCACCATGAATGTTCCAGTAAAGCTGATCAAAAAGGATCCGTTGTCGTCTTCTGGTGGAATCTATTTTGGAATGTCTTCACCAAACACTTTCGCTTTAAATGGAAGTAAGCTCAAGAATTCATTTAGTCTTGTTATTATTTAAATGAAATAATCGGTATACTTGTAAGTAGTGTTGAATAATTATGTAAAAGTTATATATATGTCATATTTAGGATGTTTGCTATCCCACATTATATCCTTACATCCTCATAGATCTTACTACTTACGACAACTCGGCATATTGTTTTATCTTCCATTGCACATATTGTTGAAAATAGTTTTAATATGTTATTCAATTTATATCTTTCAAAGGGCATATGACTAACTAATAAAATGGTTGTTATTCTTGTGTTCGTTTTTTCTCCCATTATACTTAACCTTTTGATCTATCTACCCAGGTCCGGCTTTCGTTGCATCATTACAAACGACTGGGGAAAAGAGATGCTATCATTTGAAATCGAAGTTGTACACTTCTCTCCTCGCTCTATAAATTCTTCATCTATTTCGATTAAGACACATTTTGCTCCCATCAACAACAGTAACTCAGATTCCGGTTCCACAGCAAATCGACATCCTTCTGATGCTGCCCTTATGTCAAATACTGCTTGCTCTTGTTCAGAAGATGGATTCGGTCTACTTAACTCATCTGCATCCAGCGCCGGTTCGCGATGTGCCAACTTTGATTCTGATCCTCCCTTGAACACTGGATTCCATGAAAATGCCGTCACCTGTCATAATTTTTCTTCTGATGTCAGTTTACAGGGCTTACGAGTTGGAGTCAAAACCAAGCGTGCTCATGGTGATGCTTTCACTTACGCTAGCATCTGTCGATCTCTGTTGGCTGAAGCGGACTTACGACCTTTGGATATTAATTAACGTTTACGGATATAAGACGAGGCATGGCTTGTTTGATCCCAAAATTGATGTTACGCACTCACTTGTCCTACTTGGATTCCTTCGTTTTTAATCTCTTAACTCAAACAAGTGTCACTGATCTTTATCTCATTATTCATTGCTTTACACTTGTGGAATCTAATTCTTATATTTTCTCGTAACTACCTAAATTACAATATTTGTTGGGTGCTGATAACATTGGGTCTGCGCCATTTCCTACCCATTCAAGTTTTCTCTCATGGCTTCTGCTTTTTATACTCACTTTCACCAGATAACACTTCGGATTTTACTACCGT